GGTGCTGGTGCTGGTGCTGGTGCGGCCCGCGGCGGCTGCCGCCGTGGCTGTGGGGTGTTTTGGCGGTGGTGGGGGTGGTTGTGCTGGTAGGGTTGCTGGTCGGCTTCTCATCCGAAGAACCCTTAATTAAGTCGTTTCAAGTCCAGAGCCTCGCTGTATAAACCCTAAACTTCACAGTTCACTCGGCCTTTTCATCGCGATCTCCCGGCTGACTGCGACGAAAGACCCGGAGACCCCAACCACCCGCATGATCACCAGCAACACCAGCACCACCAGCTTCAGCGACACTACAACCTCCATCCATCACTATCGACACCGCTACTGTCGCAACCGCTTCCGACATCCACTACCACCACTAACAACACCAGCACGAGCATGTGACTTTTACGAGTACCTGCATGTTCCTAATATAGTATCATCATGTAACAACTGCCTCTGGAAAAACATGACGATAACAATCTTGTTAAGTACGAAGGATGCCGGCTGCAATTCATGCTGGGAGTTGAGTACGAGTTAGGGTTTAGGGAAAAGGGAGGCAATGTCAGCATCATCAGAAAGCAGGAAGGAAATTCGACATGCATGGCGGCTTGCAGCTCAATGTTGAGATCAGAGAACAGACAGGAGTACTAACGGTTCTTTTCACAGTGAGAACTGAGAATCAACACTGGCTAATGTAGGAGCCTTGTTTACTAGAGTAGGGTCTTGGTGTAGGTCGAACGTGACTATTTAGGGACAATAAGGGGGCACTAGTAGTCTTAATGATTCAGACCCTATGCATTACAGACCTCACGTGTAATGCAATTCTGAAAGAATCGGCCTGCTTGATGGCGTGGTGGCCCGGGCGATTTAACCTTTGTCGGCTCAAGAGCTTGGGAATTTCTGGTTTAGAGTTTAGGGTTTAGGGTTTAGGGTTTAGGGTTTTGCATCAGCCGTGGAGACCGCTTATGAAGTTTAACTCTGATCGATGCAAGGGGATGTTCCAAGGAGCGATTTCCTGTGTCCTCGAAGATCCGCATCCAACAGGGAGCCAAATAACAGCAAAGCAGCAAAACCAAGCGAATGCAAGCGATATGAATTCGCAGCGCTCGTGTTGTCCTCCAACCTTTTTTGGGAACCCCTGCGAGGTGGTCTCAGGAGTCAGGTTCCCTCAGCCCGGGAAGCCTTGAACCTTACACCCCCGAATGCATGAGAAGCCTTATAACCCCAAGGGTCCAAAGGACCCAGTAATCGGGTACTTCGTTACGGATAGTGGTCATCGAGCTTAATATTTGGGAGAGTATCTGATGTTGTAAGTACTTGGACCCTTAGGGTAAGGAACCCGTACAAGTATTCCAGCCCGAGAAGCCTGTACGCTTCTTGGCCGGTGGAGACGTTGAACACGCTCACCTGAGCCGACATCTCTGCTGTTCTCTTTCCAGGGCACTCTGATGTCCTTCATGTACGCGACGGAATTATCCTAGATCTTAAACACCTACTCGAAGGACTCTAACCCCCAAACCCTGAACGCAGAACCCTGAAAGTGCCTATATAGGGACTACTTTAAGGCCAAAGTATATACTATTTAGCTCCTAAGGTCTATAGAACGCTGTTGGATCCCTTGAAGGAGCCCTCAAAATCATCCTAAAGGGACACTATGTGGGCACATGGACCGTTAGGGAATGATACCAGACAAAGAGCGAACAACAACCACTGACCCCTAACCCCTAAACCCCTAACCCTAAACCCCGAAACCCAAACCCTAAACCCTAAACTTAAAACCCTACACCCTCAACCCAAACCCCTAAACCCTAAACCCTAAACCCTAAACCCTAAACCCTAAACCCTAAACCCTAAACCCTAAACCCTAAACCCTAAACCCTAAACTAACCCGAAGGTCGGCGGAGGTTGACTTTTTTGGGATTTTGGGGTGTTGTTCTAGGGTTTTGGGGTGTAGTTCCTTTTTTTTGTTTAAAGCCGGGGGTTTTGGGATTTTGGTGTTTCGATCTAGGCTTCTGGGGTCTTTGCTAGAGTTTTGTGGTTTTGAGTCTTTTGTGGCTTTTGTTCTAGGGTCTTGGGGTTTTGGGCTTTGGGCAGTGGACTTTGGGGCTTAGGGTTCTTCGTGGGGTCTTGCAGATATTTCAGAGGTCCGAAGCCCGAACCACGAGATCACGAAACCAGTACGTAATATAGAAGCCCACATAATTACCAATGTTTTTTGGGGTTCCTTATTATGATTATAGTATAATGGGCCCCAAAACCCTATTCTAATTATTAAGGCCCCTATAGTAACAAGGACAGGTTCTTGTGCGTCGTGGAAAAGTCCCAAAGCCCGATGTCTCAACAGAAGAGCGCGAAGCAAGCTAGGCTTAGTGAAAGGTCACAAGTCTCGCTGGGGCAGTTAGGGTTTAAGGTTTAGGGTTTACGGCTTGGGGTTTAGGGTTTAGGTTTGGGGTTTACGGTTTGGGGCTAAGGCTCAGAGACTGAGCCACTGCCGTGTCAATGCCATGGAAGCTGAGATTGTACCCTTGCAAGGTACTGATCACGGTTTAGGGTTTAGGGTTTAGGGTGTTGGGTTTAGGGTTTAGGGTTTAGGATCCCTAAACCCTAAACCCTATATACCACACACGGGCCATAGAGCGGATGCACGGCGCGAGCAGTGCAGTCCGCCGGCGAGGCGAGCGTCCGAGTCCGGTCCAAAACTAAAGCGGCCGAGCTAGCACTGCTCTAGAGCAAGCGCTGCGTCCCTGTACAAATCGGCCGAGACTCGCACGGGCACGTAGAAACAACTCCGAAGTAAACCCAACAACAAGGCCATCCAACTTAAAACCGATCCCAAACTCAGAGCGATCGATACCCTGGACCAAGAGAGACTGAAGCCCCAAACACTTCAGAGCTGGTCGCAGCGCCCGACGAATCAAATTTAGTCTACCAGCAACTGTAGGGGCTGGCGGACTAAAAACTGTGCTGCTGGCCGAAGCCCAGAAACCATCCGTTCCACAGACTGGATATTGCACCCGATCTTCCAAGTGAAGGGCGAAGACAACCTCGAGCCATGACAGTTCGTACGCCACATCAGAAGCTGCATCCTGCTCAAACAGAAAAACACAGAGCTCCTTGACAAAGTCAAGAGGGAGACCACATCGAACCTCGACCAGTCTGGAGCACCAGTTTAAAGGCAGCATATCCTCAATCTCGAGACTCCTTGGCCTCGAGCATGGCGTTGGAACCGTAGGCTCCCACATGTCATCATCTGCCGCCAGGGCCTGTGTACCGCGCACGGTGCCACGGTCTGCGATGCCAAAGAAGATAGAACGAAGAGCGCGCAGCAGCTGAAGTTGGTCGTTGTGGTAGGCACAGGCAGCTTCGAACGCCTCAACCATGCGCTGTGGCCGGTTATTATTGGCGATGCCAGCCAGCAGGTCTGCATGACCGTTTCCAGCCGCCAGCCAATCTTCGAAAGGTGCTTCCGTTAGCCGCGCATCCAGGTGCGAAGGAGTGTGCCGGACCATGAACCTGGCGGGGTCAAGTTGAGCCACAAGACCATCCAGAACCTGCCACAGATCGGCGTCCGCATCGTCGTCAAGGGGCCTGCCGGCCTGCAGTTGTTCAATGCCTGTGGCCACGTTTTGGGCATCAGTCCAGACCACGCAAGGGAGCCCGGTGTGTAAGGCCCAGCGCGCAGCCGACGTCATCGCACATAGTTCAGCCCTTGGAGCCGTCTGCAAGACACCGGGCAACAAGCCACAGGCAATCGCTGTAGACTGCCGCGCATGGACCAGCCCCCAACCAGCAAGGGCGAAGTCGCCATGCAGATGCCCCCGACAAGCTCCGTCAGTAAACAAGTGCTGCCAACCCAAACCAAACCCCGAACAGAAGAAAACCCCGGTTGTGTCCGCAAGCTCATGCAGGCAACGCCGCAATGTTGGCAAATACGGATTGGCCGATGGCAGTAAATGGTGCGTGAGTGCTTTCGGGAGAGAGTCCCAGCGATCAACCGCCCATTGATAAGGCTGGCGAATGTGAGAGTAAACTGGACAGTACCGTATGCGATGTTCAACGGTATCGGGAACCCCGCAACTCTCGCAGCAGCCGGTCTGGGTGAGGTCGTAATGGGAGTGCTGGTGCCCAAAGAGGAAGGCCCCGGCCCTGACAGAGGCATACCGCGCAGTGTCAAGCGCGGTCAGTTGTTTAGCATCGGCCTGCAGAAGGGCTGGATCGAGCCCGTTCAAGTCCGCCATCTGCTTGCGATGGGTATGGCATCGGGCCACATATTGGAGCCAAGCGTGCACTAGCAGGCGGTAGAGGAGAGCGCTAGGCATCGCAACAAGGTTGTGGCTGAGTCCCTCATGATCGATCACCAGTGGAGGCTGACCGATACTCCAACTGATTTGGCCGAGCACAGCAACCAGCTTGGTGAAGGGGCCATGCAGTGCACGGCCATCATGGGCATTCATGTATTGGCGCCATGAAGCGAGGAAGTTGGGAAGCTTCTGCGCCATGCGGCGTAGGTCCCTTGCACATGTCCAAAGCTGGTAAAACCCGGGGTCGGCTGTAGGAGGACTGGCGATGCTGAGGCGAAGCTGAGAGCTGACGCCCCCCGGTCGGATGCGAAGTGCCGTCGTGGCAGCTGAGCGAAGCTGGTTGAGTTGGGCCTCGCTGAGAGGGCACCCCGCAATGCCATGTAAGGCCCGAGCCCACATCTTGGCAGGCAGCATCAAGAGTTTGAGATGACCCGGGGCCCGGGACCTGCGGAGGGCAGACCAACCGGGACTCAGAGCCAAACAACGGTCCTTGAGGGCAGCATTGCGGACGCGGGGCCCGAAAAGACTGGATGCCACCAAGTTCCCGAGCAGCGTCAATCACCGGGTGACCGAGAAGTCGCAACGCCACACGGTCCCGAGCTTCAATGGCCCAGGCGAATGTCTTTTCCGTGTCAAGCGGGAGGCAGAGCATGTCCGTAAAGCAGGTCAACACTCCATAGGCATGTGCCAGCTGCGATGGTGTGCTTGCAAGGCAACTCAGATTGTCAACAAAGCTCAAAGCTTTAGCAGGTGCCGCAAAAGCCGCCATGTAAACATGAAAGGCCCAGTCAGCTAGCACCATTGCCACGGCGACAGCGGGCAACCTTCAGGAAACCCGGAGGAGGACCGTATGCCCTCACCCACCTCGCCACGAATGACAAAGCGTCTTTCAGTGACCGCAAGAAAGCCACGCCACGCACCCAAAAGCCCAGAAGGAAAGCCAACTTGCTCCGCCATTGACAGTAAGGGCTCGCGTGGCAGGTGGTTGAAGCACTTGCGAATGTCCGTTGAAAGTCCGGCCAACGACTCACCAGACTGACAACACAACTCAATTTCAAGCTGCACCGAGTACCAGAGCTCATGCAGTCGCTTCATGGCCAGGGATAAAGCCCAGCAGTCCAGAAGGCAGCAATGAGCGAAGTGCGGCCAGAAGCTGGCGGGCTCGGATGCCGGCCCATGTTCTGTAGATGATACTATAGAGGCAGATCGGACGGAAACCTTGGGCATCGGTGCGACCATTGCCTTTGCAGAGGAGGCACACGAAACCGACCACCAACTGCGTTGGCCATTCGCGTTCTGAGGCCTCGATTTCGGCCAGAAAGCGGAGCAACTCACATGTGCGCTGTGGCGGCAAGTTCAACAGATCCAAACGGGCCCAGCCATCCGGGCCGCGTGCCGCCCGTGGTTTGAAGCGGCGCACGGCTCGGTTCCAAGTATCGGGAGAGATCTCGGGCAGTGCCAGGCGGTGACGGGGCAGGAAGGCCCGCACGAAGTTTAGGAAGCGATCCCAGTCAGAGGCGGTTTTGGTGGAGTGCAGCTGCCAACGGGGTGCCCAAAGGGACTTAAATTCCGAACACAGATCGGCGACAGAGGAGAGCGTCTGTACTTGCTCAAGCTCCGCGCAGTCAGAGCGTGCTGGGGCTGCCAAGGTGCAAACGTCATCATCACAAGAGTTGACCCGAACAGGATCACCATCAATGGCCCACGAGGAGACACCACGGGAATCGAGAGGGTATTCAACATGCACCTGGTTGCCATGGGGTGCGACCGCCAAAATGGCGTATTCACGCCGCACCTGCAAGGAGTCGACCTGCTCTGGGGCAGGGTCACGGAGGTCCTTGTAGACCTGAGCAAGAGACTTATCGTACTTGGCATCGAGAACCTGAGTGCGCCGGCGCAGGTGCCAATCTTCCAGCCTTCGAAAGTTGCAGCGGAAATCATCATACAGCTGTCTTGCGACGGAAGCGTCGGGCACAAGGTCTGGCATGGAAGCCGGGCTGCCCACCAGCTTGACCGGCCGAGTTAGCCACCAGTCTGGGAAGCCGTTTCGAAAGCCCCGGGCCTGTCGTATGGAAGTCCAAAGGGCCAAGCGGTACTCGAGGGCAGACGCGGCCGGGTTCGCCGCTTTGGCTGCGTGCCACAGTGATTGAAGCCTGCGCAGCTGTTGGAACCAACGCCGAACTTCAGCGCCGAGACCATCATGTCGTAGACTGGCCTCTCCTGGCCGACTGGGGCGCAATGGAACCACTTGGGCCTGAGAGGTGCAAGGTTTTGTTCGGCGACCCCGTCCGAAGGTGTTTGAGGGTGGGCGGCCATTGGGAAAGGCGGGCACAAAACCATCCAGACTTTGCTCAACTGCAGTCGCAAAGCGGGCATACCACTGATCAGATGTGGCCGCAGTCACCGGACGGTGCGCACCGTTTTGGTGCCAATCATCCAGTTGCACATCCTGCCAAGGCATCTCCGCGGGGAGCGGCCAAAGAGTGCGCACCGTGGCCTGGCTAGGGAAAGAGAAGCCGGCCAGAACAGTCGTGTGTTCCTGAAAAACCTCAACAGGGGTCACACTGGTGCAAAGTGAGGCTGCCTCCGGGGAGAGCCACAAGAAATCTCGGCGGGTTGCATTTTTGCAGGTGGGCACCGGTTGTTGGTTCCAGCTGCGGAGGGCTAAATCCTGGGTCTCAATCCAACCCTGTGCCCTCCATAAAGCGCACTGCTGAAGACTGTCAAGGTCATGGTTGAAATCACCACATATCACCCGAAAACCGTGAGAGCCCAACACGACTTCGCGAGTGAGCACGCTAAGGAGAGCATCAGTCTGGGGCCGTGCATTGGGCCAGGTGGGGCCCTGCGGATAACCGTAAACTGTTGCGACCGACAGAGGGGTCGATTCATGATAATGCTGCGCCAACATGACGCGGCCCGACTCGTAGAGGCCCGAGGGCCAGCAAAGTGATTGGCTGCGGCAGGGTAAGTCGCTGGCTTGGAGCACCCCGCTCCAGGAGCCAGCCCATTGGCTGTTGAGACGGAGAGGTGCGGGAGCGCCAGATAGCACTCGAACATCGCGATTGGCCTCCCGAGCACACAATCGGAACTGCTGCCGACAGGCAGGCAAAGTCACTGCCGAGAGCTGGGTCTCGGAAAAGCAATGTATCCCCGGCCCCCAGGCCATAAAGTGGGGTTCCTTGGCACGAAGCCCGGTGGGATTGCTGGTGCTGATTGAGAAAGGTGGAGCAGGCGAGGGACCGGGATGGTCGGCTTCGCCATAACGAAAGGTCTCAAAACTAGTGGTATGGCTTGCCTCCGCAGCATGGCGACCCAAAACACAAGACAGCGTGGCGGCCAAACCAACCGTAGAGCGAAGAAAGAAAAAGCACCAGTGAGCAAGGAGCAGCATGACCCGGACGGGCCAGGGGCACTTGAAGTTGCACAGCCCGTCCCCGCGCCCCCGAGGACGGCTGGGGCGGCATAGTCAATGCCGGGCCTTCTTGGCCGCAAAGAGCTCAGTGATCTGCTCCATTTGGCCGGCCAGTTGCGCTGCCATCTGATGGGTGAGCTCACTCTGTAGAGATCCCACTGCAGTTTGCACTGTGTGCTGCACCTCGGTTTGTACCCGACCAAGCGCAACTTGCTGTTCCTGAACGGTGCCTTGCAAGGCAGTCAGCTGCTGTGCCTGATCATTTACCTGAGTGCCAAAGGATTGGAACCAGCTCTCAAACTTGGTGCCCTGATGCCGCAGTTCATTGACACTCGTCTCGAGAGAGTGCAGGCGTTTGTCGTGATCGCTGAGGCCTGGCGGCGGGCCGGCTGCATCCCGAGCTTCAAGAGTGCGATCCAGCATCTGTTGAAGATTCTGCTTGAGATCGATCTCAATCTGAGACAGCTTTGTGGTGGCTTCAGAGGAAGAGGAGGCTTGCCCAGGGGGTGCCGAGGACGTCGCACGTGATTGGGACCAGGGGTCGCGTCCACCGGTCCAGGGATCCGCAGAGCTTGCCTCGTCCTGGTCATCATCAATCAGCAGAGCTTTTTTGGTGCGGTTAGAGGCACAGATAGCTGAGGGAAGAGATCGGGCGGGCCCAACATCCCGGACTTTTGTGACGAGCACATAGTTTGTGCCGATCGGCATTGCTTGTGCAGGTGGCTCGCCTGAGGCACCTACTAACCAGGCACAGCCTGTGGCATCGCCTCTGTCAGGTTGAAGGGGTCGGCAGCTCCACCCCCACTGCTTAAGAAGCTGCACAAGATTGTGTCTCTGAAAGCCGTGCGGCAAGGGATGAAGCCTATACCTGGCGACGATCCTGACCTTAACAAACTGATGCTGCGGCCGTAGAGCCTCGAAGACTGCCTGCTCATCGGCTTCTTTAGTCCGGAGACCGTATTTGGTGCCTAGCCTGGTCAGCGCGACTGCCTTGGCGTTGGTCCTGAGCGCATGAAGGGCCTGTGCCAAAGTTTGGCCCGGGAGCCAGACCACCGCCCAGGCGCTATGGGGCCCTGACCCATCAGCAGCACGGGGCTCAATGTATAGGCCAGGGAGTGCAACACGGAAAAGGTGGGGCACAGCAGAGGAGGGCACCCTAACAAAGGCCTGGAAGACATCTGCTTCAGAGGCTTTAGTCTTGCTGCCCGACAGTCGGCACCACTGTCTGGCCCAAACATCCAAGAACAAGTGATCCACCACCTCGTCGACGGCGGCGTGGAAAGCTGGGCAGCTCTGGTCACAGGACCTTTCGCGACACACCTGAAACTCTGGAACCTTCTGCAACAAAGCCCGGATCGGCGCATCAACCAGCTGCTCCCAGGGAAGCTTGCACTCGTCACGATATAGGCTCAGGCGGCAAACAACCGTGGATAAATGTTCAACCTCGGCTATGTCCGTGGCCGCTAACTGTGCATCCTCATCCCCGAGCTGAACCAAAGATCCTGCAATCAGGATCGCCTCCTGGGTCGGGGCGTAGATGGCTGGAAAGCGGAGTGAGGTCACTCGGGCGATACCTGTGTCCTCTGGCGCAATCTCTGCCGTTGTCACAAGGGCTAAGGCATCCACACTGAGGTTGCGCGACTCCTGCAGAAAGGGTGAAGCCTGGGCCAATGTGACAAAGCAGATCCCGGTGGCTTGGGACTGTACCTCCTGGAAGCTAAGCTGGCCGAGGGGGCTGCCAGATTGCGAAGTGAAGCTGCCCGGGGCCAACTGCAACTGGAGTGGATCGACATGGATGGGGGCCTGGACGGGCCTTCGGACGGGCTTCTGTTTTTTGGCTTTGGCCTGGGGCACTGTGGTGCCAAACTTCTCCTGCGCCCTACTGAGGATGTGTGCTTCAAGCTCATCTGGTTGCACCCATTTGAAAGAAATGCCCGGCTTGGAGCCGGCTGCTTTCAATGCCTGCCATGGGTTGCGATGGCTGAGGGCCGCCGCCAGAGGTCCAGAGCCGATCTTCGCCAACGCTTGTTGGAGACGAGACGGCGCAGCGGTCTGCGGCACACCTTTGGCAACCAGGAGTTGCAACAAAGCCTGTTCTTGGTCCTGTGCAAGGCCACCGTACCCAAAGAGAGTGGCAGGGAACGGAGGGAAATCGGCAATGAACTGCAGCACGGTATCCAGCCGATCCGAGAGGCCGGCACCCGAAAGCCGGTAAGCAGCATGCGCCAATGCAATTGCGCCGCAATTGTACTCATCAGTTTGCAGCCAGATCGTGGTCTCAGTGAGAGAGGTAAGTTCCTTGCCCGCCAGGGAGCATAGGATGGTGGCTAGGCAGCGGGCTGGTGAGGCATTGCGCTGCGGGATGCCATCAAAGACCTCACCTCTCATACCTTCCGCGCACGGGCTCAGCACAAGCAGGGTCCAATGGCCCTGGGACACAAAAGGAGCCAGGATCAGCATGGTCTCAGGCAGGAGCTGGGTAGAGTTGAGCTTCAGAGACTCCAAAGCCCGAGCAGGTATCTCAAGCAAAGTGGTGGCAATCTTGGGCGGCAGGATGAAGACAGAGGTGCGGGCACAAGCCTGGGCGGTTTCCCACAATCCACACCAAAGCGCAATGTCCGAACAGGCCACAGTGCTCGCGGAGGCAAGATGTGTAGCAAGAGGCAAGGTGCCTGCTGTCAGTTCAGGCAAGCCAGCCGGGATGGGTGCCACTGAAGCCGGGGGGCTTCCACGGGATGTGGCTGCACGACGGGGTGGTGTGATAAAGTCAGCCGCCAGTCTAGGGCTGGGCTGTGTGGCCACATCAGATGGCACAGGTGCCTCGGATCCTTCAGAGCGTCGGGCTCTTTTAGATTGCACCTCGAGGTGATAAGTAGGGCCGTGGGGCTGTGGGTGCAGCCAGGCTGTATGTGGGAGAGCACGTCCCTCCTGCTTAAGAGCAAAGCGAAGCCCTGGCATAGACGACTCCTTGGCATGCTGGAGCAGCTCACCTGCTGTCGTAGGCCCCTTGACCGGCACCAGCGTCTGGTCCTCGCCTTTTTGCAACGCAATCAAACCGCCTTGGAGAATGGCCGGAGTAGTCCAGTGGTCTTGCCTGGCATCAAGCAGCTGGGTCTGATAGCGCCCGAGTGCTGTCAAGGGCAGCCCGGGCGGCCCTGAAAACACGGCGGCGGCCCAATCCCAGATATGCGCGTGCACCCAAAGCGCTTGCATGGGTGAGGTCAGCTGTCCGACAAGACAAAGGGCCGCTCTCGGCTCAGCAGGAAGAGGGTGGCAGGGCAGAAGTCCGTTAAGCAGGCCTGCCTCCTGTGGATGCAAGTGCCGGATGGCGCCGTCCTTGGCTGATGGGACACCAACACCTCTTAGGCCAATGCTGAGCAAAACCTCCTTTGGAAAGGCTTGTGGACGGCAGCCGCAAGGACAAGGCCGAAACACGTTGCCCCAGGAATGAAGGGCCGTGGGGCAGGGCTGCGTCGACACCAAAACCCGAGATGTTGGGCCGAGGTCGGGGTCACTGAAAGCCTCGCGTTCCTTTTCATCCCATTGCAAATCATGCTCAACGTCATCTGCCCACTGGGGCCACACCGGAATGATATCACCGACAACCCGTTGCTCAGGCAGTTGGGGCCAGACAGGCAGTTGCAAAGCAGGCAAGTGCGCCGGCAACAGCACCAGCCACCAGCGAACCCTACGTGTTGACCACTGCTGTGAAAGGTCAAGTGATACTTGGGCAGAGCTGAAGCCAGCCTTTGCCATGAACTGTTGGAGCCATAGCGCGTTGTGCTGGTTGTGAAGGAGGTTCAATTCACACTCAAGAATGACACCACTGGCTTGCATATGCCAGGCGGCTTGCAGCACATGACACAACAAGGGGCAACCCTGAACGGAAAACCCCCCCTCCAAACCCCTGCGAAGCCCAGGGCCAGGAAGGCCTGCACCAAGAATGCAGCCCTCGGTGGCACGCACCAAGTGCAGTTGCTGACGCGCCTGTTTATCTGCAATGTCACCTTCAATCACTGCAGCATGTCGTTCGCGCAGTGTGGCACAAGCAAGCGGGCAGCGCTCAAGGACTGCAAGGCTGGTGCCTCCCAGCAAAGTGCAGCCTGCAGTCATCCCACCTATGCCTGCACAGACTTCCTTGAAGTTGCGAAAAGAATCCCCCACCATGTCCGGTTTAGGAACGACCACTGTATCGGAAAGCAGCTTCAGGTGATGGCTTGTCCCATACTGGCCCTGATATTGCACACCATACAAAGTCAGAACCTGCCCTTGCTCGAAGGAGCCCACGGTTGAGCCTGCACAACGACAAAGTTCAGAATGCCAAAGGGTGCGGAATGAAACGCCAGCCAAGTCCTGACAGATCACCTGAACCACAATGTCAAACCTGTCACCGGTTTCCAAGGAGGGAAGGAGCGGGTCGCCCAACATGCCTAGCACAAATCTCTCGAGGGTCCGCTGTCTCAGCTCCACTACTGGAAAGTCTCGAGCCCAGAGCTCCCTAAACCCTATATAAACCCTAGACCCTAGATCCTAAACCCTAAACTTTAGGGTTTAGGATCTAGGGTCTAGGGTTTAGGGTGATATCTTCGAGTGTCGATGCCCATGCTGCTCGGGAGCAAGGCCGCTGCACAGCTTGGTGAGCTCCGAGACGCTGACACATGGGTAGTTCTCTAAATTAGGGTCCCTTTTAGGATCCTTTTTTTAAGGATGCCGTACTATATCGGGGACTTAAAAAGGGACCCTATAGTTTAGAGAACTACCCACATAGAACATCATGGTAAATGCATAGCAGCCTCTCGTTCCTGGCTTGGACATACGTCGGTGGCAAGACTTCTGGTGGGGGCTTTCCAGCCCAGCTTTTTTAGGCAACACCCCACCGCTCGGAAATCGCTGCTGGCTGTGTTGGTTCCCGAAACCCTAAACCCCTAAA